CCTTGTGATCGATGATCGTCACTGACCTTTCGTTCATTCAGAAAATTAACTACCAATCGAAAATTAACAATCAAAGAATGAAATACAATTTTACTCTCAAATATATTTATATATTATTCTATGTATTAGAAATTATTTTTTGAGAATAAAAAAAGAAAAACGGTACATCGTCGTGATATGCTGACGTCGTATTCAAAGTGTGAACGATGCAAATTTTGATTTCATGAGAAGAATTTTCAAGGAAGCTGAAAGATGGATGGAGCACGCCGAGCGGCACTGGACAATGCGCCTGAATTTGCATCTGGTATACATAATTCAGACGTCGTTCTGCCTTTCAGCATGTTGTGAATGCTGCTCATAGAGAACTCTGGCAGCCTCTCAAGGCGATACTTTATCGCTATATATATGCTGACGAATCCAACTCGCCCTTCGATTGCCAATCGATTAAGCCGATACTGACATTATGATCCATATTCAATGGATAAAACCAAACCTACGCTTTTATCGTCAATTACCAATCAAATATGCGCTTTCGATTTCTATCTTAAAATAGCTGCAAAGGGTTCATATTTCTGGAGTAATTGTCACGTCTTTTAAGAGCAAAAATTATTACCAAAAAATGAAGTTATTTATAATTAAGCTAAAGTCACACTTGACGGTTTTCTAAAGTCATAATTTAGAAATCAGGTTTGTTGTAAACGTCAACTTTAAGAAAATACACCAAATTCAAAATTTGTAATTAATTTTTAATTTGGTGTGATAATAAACATAACTATTTAAATCGATTTTAGTATTCATTTGCTACCAACGACTTCATAACCAAAAAATAAAATACTCCACATATATCATTGCTACTTCTTTAGCACTATTAATTTTCAAAGTCAGGAAGAAATTCTTATCAACATGTTGAAAAGATTCTGAATCTGCAAGACACCTCCCATATGAGCTATTGAATCTACTAAAGCTGCAATCGATGCTACTGATGCATACAGTACATATATTATTGATTTGTGAAGCTAGAGAGAAAGTATCCGAACAATGGCAGCAAACTATTTAATAAATAAGAAGGCTTCTGATCGGTATCAAAAGGAAGGAAACCATTAGTTGCTACTAGGAGTAAATAACAATTTTTTTGGAGGGGTTTAAATTCCTTTGACTTTGAATCTTATCTTTTAAAGGTGTTGAGGAATTCTAGGGCTGAGAGTAGCGATGATTTATCCTTTCGCGTACGCGTATATATATTTTGTTCGGGGACACACGAACTCCAAAGCATAAGGCGGAGGTGCAACACAGCACACGATCTATAAAGCGGTCGCTTGGCATGTATATGAAGCCTTTAACGCCTCGGACAATGCAACCGGGGGAAGGCCAGACAATGCTCCTCCTTCGGGCCGAGGTGTATGGCAACTATTCATTTTCCAAGCGAAGATGCCGAAGATAACCTCGCGAACCTCGCTACCTAAACAGAGAGAGGGAGAGAGATAAAGTGAGATCAGAAGAGTGAAAAGATATACCAATCGTTGCCACCAAGTTTATAGTTTGTCTCCCTCTCGCCACATCGCTCTCTGACAGGAAATTACTTAATTATATTCACATTTCCTACTTCCGGGGGCCGTGAAGAAAACAAAACCTCTCAATCAACCGAAATTAACGGATTTTCACTTTCCGTACTTTTTCTTCATCGAATTTGTTTTTCTTCACTGATGCACGATGCGGTACTTTCTTCATCGTGTATCTGAATATTTCAGACCACGTTCTGTGGGTACGTGTGTTATAAATTTTAACGCGGTTGCCGCAACTCACAGACAGCGCGGTGCGCATATTTCGGTTTACTCTCGACACTCCCCCTTTTCATCTTATACCCTTTCAAAAGATATGTCATGGTCGTACCTTTCGCCATATGAGAAAGAGGCAATTTTCATCTAATGCAAAACAAATATTTTCATTTCAAAAAAAAAATTAAATTACCGGCCATATTATACGTTATGAATATGTTGCACGAAAGGCGACTCCCCATGAAGAAAAAAAAATGACAGAAATATATAGTTGGTTTCAAAGTACAGAAGGGGAGGAAAAAAGAAGTTTGAAAATTTCCCAGCTGTTCACCAGTTATCTGCGGCGAAAATCAAAGATGGCGATGGGTTTCAACCCTTGCTATCTTCCCCATCGGAGCGAGACTTTCACATGTGGAGTGAGCACGATATTGGTGTGTAGAGGCGGGAGGTAAACACGTACACGCAGGCGCACGCCCTTCCATGTTACGTATATATATACCCAACATTATTACAGCAGTAGTCTATGGTGGTCGCTTTGTTTTCCCAGATCGTATCAGTTCTTCCCCCCCCCCTCTCTCACTCTCTCTCTCTCTCTTTATCGTTCTCGCTCTATTTTTGCTTCTTTTTTTATGTAGGCGACACATCTGTGAACGAAAACCTTTGGCTCCCATGGTGGACCTTTACTATACTTATAAAAGTGTAACATATTGTCCAAAAGGCATATGCCCTTATAACGCGCTTTTGTTGCGCACACTCAACGTTCAAAAGTGCCTGATATATAGTCTCGCACTCACCCAGAATGCCGTCCGAATTTTAACGATTTTTTAACCCACTCCGGCGCCACATTTTTGTCCGAGGAATGTAGCCGATTGTGCTTAGCATTAAAACCGAATGACTTCTGGTATCCAAGCTTCCTAAAAAATATATTGAGAACCATTCCAATACCTTGGAATTTGGCAGTTTAGAAATGGATTTTTTAAAATCTTTCAAGCGCACGAGTCTGTTTAAGTATTATTTATATTATAACTAGAGATTTTTCATTTTAAAAATTAATATAGTGTATTTCAAAATAAGGACATGCACTATTTAGTCGTATGACAGTTTCTGACCACACTCAAAATTTGTATAGACTATTTTAATTTTCGGTATTATGGTTAGAAATATACTAATTTTTGGTACTATTTGGCTAAAAACTGCAGCTTTGGTTACCAAACCATACTAAAACTTATTAGTATGGCAATTTTTATTTTCAGTAATTATTTGGTTAGAAAACGTTCCTATACTAAATAGTACAAAAACAAAGATATTCCCATTTTGGAATTAAATTTTTGAAATGAAAACTCTGTCAGTGTACATATAAACCGGAAATGATAGTCTAAAATAACATATTTTTGAAATAAAACTCCCTGAAAGTAATCATAAATGATTATTTAGTCACCAGGGTATATTTGGGACATCGATCAAAGTCATTGGATTTATTGGGATTTGGACAGTCTGCAATGGAGGCCGGAATACATTTGAATGTCTGCATTCATTTTTAATCTCGTTCCTGGTAAATGGTTGAAAAAGGATTCGTAAATAACATGAACAATGACACCTCCTAGAGGGGTGGGTACCACGAAAATTATGGTTTTGCGCCTGAGTGTCGCGTACGCCCTCAACCCTCCTCTAATGTTCATACACACGAATACCGCGCGCACACACCGCAGTTCAATAGCGATAAATATTTTATCATCAGTTCTGTTGTATATATACGCCATGTCCAGGGACTTCAGTGGTACTCAAAGAAATTGTATATGTGTCATCCATTTTCATTTATTACTGACAATATTCACAATTTTGATATTTTCGTTATAAAACAGATTTGACTGTTTCAATCAGTAAATAATTCTAATTTTCATTTCGCTGAAAATTAGTAGAATTTCTTACTGATGGAAACATTCAAATCTGTTTTACCGATAAATGATAAGCATTATCATTTATCGGTAAAACAGATTTGAATGTTTCAATCAATAAGGAATTCTACTAATTTTCAGTGAAATATGACTGAATTTTATTGGAAATCAAGATTAAAAATATTATTTTCAATTATTAGAAATTTATCTGCCAATTTTTTATTATTCTAAATTTTTTCTATTATTCCGTGTTTCTCCACATTCTCCACTGTATATTCTATTGAAAAATTTTCTTCCACTCTATCAATTTTTTTCCCTATTTTTCTCTTCACTGCGCGGTGTTAATTTTCAAGCTGTCTATCGAAAGCAAGGAAATGGATCGATATTACAGAATCGAGGTGCTTCGTGTTTCTAAAGAGCGTGACTTCCAACTGAAAGGCTGGAAAGAGTTCTGAGTGTAAGCAAGCAAAAAAAAAAGAGAGAAAGAAAATCAAAGGGGTGGTGGTCTTAGCACAAAAAGTTTACAAAACTGAGGGTATATATTCCGGACCCGAAACACGCAAAGGACCGATTCGCAATCCAATGAACTTGCCCTATACACAGCATGCAATGTAAAAATATCCGTGTATAAATGAATGTCTTAAAGTTGTATAAATAAAATAAAACTTTTATTCAACATTAATGCATTATATGTATACACGGTGGTGCTTTTTGAATGGATGCTTTTGATAAGGGGGAAGATTTGTTTGGAATATGAATTAAAAGTGATAAACTAAAATGAGAATGTAGGAAGTGGATTAAGCTGTTACGCCATCATTCAATCGCTAGACTGTTTCGTGTGGGCGATTTCTGTGTATATAGTCAAAGGCAGTAGAATGCGAAGATAAAAGAAAAAAAACGTCCAGACGAGTCAGTGTCTTGTTTCCACGCGATGCTTCCTGCAAAGCCATTTCAATAGTCGCTCAAAAATAAATCAGATTCGCACGATCCTCTACAATTGACTCTCACGAAGAATTTTCCCACCATTGATTATATATATCAAATGGAAATTAAGGAAATATTTAATAAGAAAAACACACACTCATAAAATAATCAATCGACTCCAGTCGATGACCCAAATAAGACTATAACGTATCAAATAACAGAAAACATATTGAGATTATGATTATTGGTGAGATTTATTTTTTAAAATTTTAATAGATTAGATCATTAGGAAATCGATATATACAGTTGAGGTGACTTGTAAAAAAATAGTTTGGGTCATCGACTACTAAAAGTAATCAGTACGATGATTTATCGAAATTGAAGAAGCATATATATAGGTACTTACAAGGCGTCGTTTGGGTTTGATGAGAGGTCGATTTTGTCCATTCATCTTGTAGTAAAGACCACAGGCATTGCAGAGGTAATGACCGGTTCCGTCCCTTCGCCATAAGGGTGTTGACGTGGCACCACAGTTGACACACTCGCGACCTTCTGCGATCATTTTCGCCCCAAACAGGGTTAAATATTAGCATCATATTGTTTCATAAATAATTACTTATTCTCAAACTTAATGTTCAATTAACTTTATTTTCATTCTTTAATTATTATTATTTGTGACGTGTTCTGAAGAAAGGTTATCAAAAAGTTGTAGGTTTGTAATTTTTGAAGTGAAAATGCCAACTCTGTTCAATAAAAACTGATTTTGATTTTACCTATAAAAAAGGATCAAGGTAAAACTTTCACAAACATAACCTAAAATTTGTTTGCATATAGATATCTTTCTTCAGAGCGCGTCAGATTCATTCTTAACAATAGATTATTTTTGCAAAAACTTAAAACTCAACATTAAGTTTGAGATGAAGACTTTTAAGCTTCAAAAATGACCAAAGATTTTCTTTTTTATTTTAATGAACTTCGGCTTTAGACGTAATGGCACCCTATCAAATGGTAATTTTACGCAGATATTTATTTTACCGACGCATATCTGTATAAAAATCAGTGTTATTATTATATTTATATATACGTCGGTAAAATAAATATTTGTGAAAAATTACCATCTGGTAGGCAAAATAACGTCGCATTAAAATATTCTTAATAATCTTTAATAAAATTTTAATCTGTAATAAAAATTGTGTATATATTTCTATAATTATCGATAAAATCAATGGTCATTTCGATATTTTGACATAAATTGACATGCATTGCAAACATATACAACAAAGCGGTTACCAGAGCAAAAGCAGCAGACTTAAGGCAGTTAAGGACAGCATATTAAGGTTCATATATATGATTAGAATAAAGATTATCCCATGGCCGAATTACAAGAGGAAAAGTGAAAGAAGGAAGAACGGATTATGGGGGAAAAGTTATCAATGAGGTTAACAAAGTTGAGATCAATCTTACAAAATGGTAACCACAACAATTCTGTAACGTTGATGATCAATATAATTAATCAAAATTACCAGTGTCAACGTCTTAATCAAAAGTAATCAACAGAGTCATTATCTCGCAATTAATTAAATTTTTCAGAATGGCTATACTAATAATAAAAGTTTTAAAAGTCGTCAGATTGTTTATTAATAAAAATCTTTGCAGACATATCAGTAGATTGACTATATTAATAAAAATCATCAGATATTGATTATTAATAAAAAAAATTATTGAATCATAGTTAAAAATTATGATTAATAAACAAAATAATATTATTTACAACCTTTTACTATTACTATTTATTATTAATTTATTATTATATTACTAACTTTCATAAGAAAGTTAATATAATATAAAATAATTGTACCATAAATCTGGTAAAATTTTTTGAAATCATCAAAGTAGTCAAAAGTTACCCAAATTGTATTAAAGAAATTGTTGTCAATTTTATAAAATTCAAACCGTAATGTTATTTGTCCAAATGTTGACACAGTTGCTGCATCCTAAGGAAAATTGACAAAAAAAGAAACTCAATCAGATGAAAATTTAAAGTGAGAATTAGAATCCAATTAATAATTACTTGAACCATTACAACATGATGCTTATTCATCAATAAGAGTAAACGAAGATAAATTGATAGCCCCGCTTTGTATATCAATGATGACTATACAAAACATCTAACTAGATATTAATTTTTAATTTGTAGAACGTCGATATTCTTCAAATCCTATTTTAAAAATACAGTTTCAAATATTTGATAATTTTGAAACATATTAATTGTAATAACCTTAAGCATATTATATATAATTATAATTTGTATATTTATTTATAGTTCCTAATTTTTATACTTTTTGTTAAAAAAAGTTTAGTATTCTTTTTTATAAAAATATACTTTTTTGAAATTCCAAACGTTCAATAAAGTTTAATTAATCTGAAAATTGTGGATTATTTTGCTTCTAAATAGAACTGGAAATAAAAATTACTTTACTGTTCTAATTCATTCTAATTATATTAATAATAATAAATATTTTCATTAAATTATTCATAAATTTTATTATTATAGAACATCAGTTCAGTGAAAAATAAATATGATCCGAAATGAAGATAAATTTTTTTGTTAAAAATTAAGTTAATATCCTACGTAAAATTCGTATACGCATAAAAATAGTGATAACAGAAAATTAAAAAATAGACGAATTTAAAATACATATATAAATCGCCAAAGGAATTAAACGGTACATTTCATTTTTCTCCACGTATATATGCAATGAATTTCTCTTAATTATCAATGAAATAACGTAATTAAATCTCAACTCAAATTGAGATGTCATTAAATTACCCTTATCTCGAATAAAAACTGCAATCTCAAGATATATACCGAAAAGATTGATGATGGCGAAAACTAAAAGTCGTTTTTGGGACAAAAAAAAACACGGCATTGCTACTGGGTCAATCGGTAAAGTTTGATTTGATCTAAATCCAATCTCATCAGATGCAATCTAGTCTAACTTAATGTGTCTCTAATTGTAGTTGGCTCTGAAAGTAATTACGAAAGACTCTTCTCCATATTGTTTCGCTTAATTCGATTTGAGCTTTATTGCCATGAGATTGCAGGGGTTCGATAATATGAACATATTTTTTCTCTCGTTAAATATATATATATATATATATATATATATATATATCCAAGTTACATACATATTACGAAAAAAAATTACTTCCATTCATTCTAGAAAAAGTTGATGACATAGTGAATGTTCCCTCTTAGTTCTCTGTGGTTTGTCTTTTGAGTGCAACAAGGTTCCGTAAACAATATTCATTGTTTAATGGCCAAGTTGCTCTTGTTTTTTTCACTCGCGAGGGTGATTTGTATACAATGCCTTATATTATATACTTGGAATAAATAGCCAGTCGCTGCTATCAAGACGTTTATGCACTTTACGTTCTCTACATTTTTATATACACCCAACACAGTTTGTAATTAGTTTTTCCTGCGCCTTTTTCTACAACTAAACAAGACCTAAGACGCGTGTCATAAGGAAATTTAATTAACGGTCTCCGCAGTGCAATGATGCCCCATTGTTAATAGAATTAGGATTTTCACCGCGACCAACGATTACTGCAATTCTTGCATCCGGTATTTTCCAAGCGCGAAGGATTAATTAACCAAAGGAATAATTTTGTTTTGCAATTAAGGGCGTTGAGAAAGCGCCGTTCCTGTGAAATTGAAAAGCGAATCTCTATAATAACGTAACAAAAATTAATATCACTAAAATGATAAACTTTAACTTTTTCAAAAAGTCTATTTCTAATTTTAATTTCGAAACTTTTTTTCAATAACAAATGAATTTCAAATGAATCGCAATAAATTTTCAACCTATAATGAAATTAATATTCAAAAATTTTTTTGGGGGATATTAGCTGTGAATAATAAACAAATAGTAGCCACACCACATAAAAAAACGTGCTCGTGTCGTGTCACTTTTCAATGTGCGCTCGTTTCGTGGGTGCCACTCAAAAAATTCAGTGAGGCAAAATACAAAATCTTATGGTGTCCATCTCCTTCCACTCACAGATGGACGAGCGCAAAAAAAATTCTCTTAATCATCAATGTTATTATAGTCAAATCAATAACGAAAATTAGCTTTTTAATGGTGTAGATTTTACGTGTGTCGTTGATATATTTGTAAGCGTTGGACGACCGCCACCGAAAGCTCACCAAAAAAAAAGAAAAATAATCATAAAAAATCGTTATTATTAAAAATTCATAAATTAATTAAAAATAAGATAAAAAAAAGAAAAATTAGTATCAAATAAAATTCACAAAAGATGAACAAGGCAGTGCGATGGTGAATATATGGTTTTTGCAATTTCAAAATTATATACTCAGGCCTCGGACTTTTAATATTGAAAGTTTCAAAGAATAAATACCATATTAGTTTTCTATTTTAAATAATGAGAAAATATTAAAAATGATTTTTAAAAATTGATAATTGAATTTTTTCCTACTTTGTATGTTTAATGTTTCAAACTTGTTAAGGTCAAGTAGCTGTAATTTCCCATTCATATTCTCTGCAGGTTTTCTCGCAAAATATTCGATAGATTTAGATAATATTTTGAGGAGAACTCAAAAATAGTAGAAGAAATCATTGTCATGTGGCAGAGTATATTAATTTTTTATTTTTTATTATTATTTTATCCATAAATTTTTGTTAACATATTAATATACTCTGATGGAAAATAACAGCAATTTTTTATACTATTTTTGAATTCTCTACAAAATTTTAGCTCAATTAAATATTTTGCAAGAAAACGTACGGAGATAATTTATATGTGAAATCACAACAATTACATTATATGCTGTTAAAAATATTTTCCCGACTTACAATTTTTTTCTAATTATAATTAATTTACACAATTCGAATGAAAAGTTTTCTAGCTATATACCCTGACGAAAGTTTCGGATTAAATTACAATCAGTTTTAATAGGTATTATTCCAAGACATTCTGAAATTTGTTTCCGAGCCAAACAATTACTATCCGAATCTAAATTTTAATTTAACTTAACAAAATATTCTTTCCGAATCAATCCGTTTCATTCTAAACCGGATTTTTAATTCTTTTTTTTCAGAATCAATTCGTTTCATTTCGAAACTAAATTTTAATCCTTTTTTGAATCCTGCAATTTCATTCGAAATCAATCATTCGTCTTGGAAACGGATTTATTCGGTATGAAATGTCATAATTTAAAAGGATTAAAATTGAGCTTCGGATTGATTCGGAATAAAATTCCAGGATTTAAAAGGAATAAAATTAACTTTTGGAATGATTCGAAATGATGCGAAAATAATTTTTTGCTGAGTTACATAGAAAGTTAGGTTCGAATTGGTTCGAAAAGTTTTAGAATGCCTCGGAATAATACATTACCAAAACTGATTGGAATCCGAAACATTTGCCAAGATATATGTTGTCATCTTTAATTGAAAATTTGCATTTAATATTGAGAGAATTTTAATCCATCTGTGTTGTAAATTAACGATTCTTAGAAATTCATAGAAATTAAAATAAATTAATATGCAAATCTTTATTAGGTCCAGGCCAAATTTTGTCTAAAACACAAACTTTCAATTGAAGAGGAAAATACACGATTCGCCATAATTATAGAAAAAGAATAAAATTAGTGTCTATATTATCAAATGTGAGTCCGAAGTCTGATGCACATACTAAACCACTGAACAACAACACATCGCACATCCTCAGTGCATATGAACAAAAATGGTGAACACAGGTTAATGAACAAAAAAGGAAACCAAACCATAAGATAACCAAAAAGGTGAAACAGAAAGAAAGAAAGAAAGAAAAACTAAAGGAAAGAAAAATAAAGACGGTGCCGCTTACCGGCGGACGTTCTGGACTTGTTCCTCGGCTTTTGCTGCTGCTGTTGTTGGGAACCGGGCGAGTGGGGTGTGTTCCCGTGGGAGCCTAAGAGTTTGGAGTCGGGACTGACGCCGGGAACACCGGAGCCATGATGGTTCGTCGAAAATATTGAGGATGGCCCATTGTGAGGATTGTGGGAATGATGGGTGGGATATTGAAGGTGTTGATACATGTTGTAAGCAGTGGCAGTGGGATCATATTGGGAGGCAGAGGATGTATGGTGGGACGTGGCGTAAGATTCCCGGCAAGGTGAATTTGGTGCCTGCTGATTGCTCTGATAATCCTGCTGCTGTTGTTGACTTGCAGTCGCCTGGTTCCCGGATGGCCCATTGCTTCCGGCCGATTGGCTATTACCTTCTCGTTGTTTGACCTGTCCGGAAGCACCGTTGGAGCCGTTGTGCTGATGGGGAGGCGATGGTGCGCCGTGATGATGACCGAGCATCACCGAGGGTTTCACGTCACACGAACCACCGGAAGTTGATCCGAGGGCGTCTTGGTGGTGCATGAAGGCCCCCATCACGGCGGCGTGCGCCACAGCCGCTTGATACTCGCTGCTTCCACCGCCGCCGAGATTCAGAGAATTGTTGTTACTGTTGCTGGTCGAGTTATTGTTGTTGTTGCTGGTGCCGTTCGTCGTGCTCGACGTCGTACTCGCCGTTATGCTGTCCGGCGTCGCGTCCTTTGGCGGCGTCGGTGGGAAGGAGAAGAGGTGATGACCACTCGCACCCCCATGACTCGAGAGACTTCCTGAGCTGGGTGGCAGAGAGGAATTCAACGGACTTTGGGGTTTATCTTCGCCACTGCCACCTGTCGACGCGGCACTCGATGGAAATCCCCAAGGTTTGGAGGTGTCCGCACCCGTGCTGGACAACCAAGGGTGGAGTACTGAACTATGAAAGTGAGGACGACAGACTTGACTCACTGGTCCACTTCCAACTCCACTCGTTGACATCCTACCTGCAATGCAAAAAAGAAAAAGATCGTTAGAAATTATTCAAAAACGCAACCAAAGATTTTTGTTTCGTTTCATCAGTGTTCATCATCAAGGTATTCAGAATATCCCATTGACGTCCTATCAGTTATGGTTCTGGGAAATTAAAAATTAGGGAAATTAGATGTCCTGAGAATATACTAATTTCCTACTTCTAGGACGTCAGTAGAAAATTCTATCATTACAAATGAAGAATAGCTGATGAATTAAAAAAAAAATGTGGAAAATTCAAAGTAACAATTGCTGAATGATATAAGATTGTATATGTATATATGTATATATAGGATGTGAAGAATTAAGACAGTTTTATGGATTACCAATCAATGGACGATCAATTAATTCGACACTAAGTGCTTGGTTAATTAGACATTAAGTGTCCACACTTTATATAATAGTATCCAATAATTATCTTCGCGAATTACAAAATACGTATTTTGTAATGTAATAAAATTCAATCGCGTATTAGACTAGCAGATAAGAAATCCGTGATTGATTTATATTTATAGCCTCTAATAATGAATTATAATAAACTCTCATCAGTGAAACATCCTGATTTTCAAAATAACAATACATATTCAATTATACATTTTGTACTCTGAATTGTTATTTAATTTTCCTGTTTTCATATTTTATTGTCATATTCTTCTTCATTTTTAATAATATTAAAAATAAAATATGAAAACAGTTTCTGTTAAATATTGATGTTTTTAAATCTTGATATATATATATATATAATTTTCGAGTAAATATGTGTTTAATGAACATAACAGAAAATTTTGTATTCATGTACCTATATGTTTTTATATATATGTAGCAAACATTTATTTGCTTGAGATTATTGAAAACTGAAGGAAAATAATATATAATTATTGAAAAATATCTGTATTTATAAATGTGATAGCAATCATTAATAGAGTTTACGCAAAGTATATATATATTCTTTTATTTCCTTTTGAATTTCTGTTCAGTCCATTATTATTATTATTTTTTTACTTAGCAAGTCTCTTAATGTCACTTTTCATTAAAAAATCGATTTGTGTAAAATTCCTTTGTGAGCGTTAACATTATTTTTAAGCCAACCAATATTTATTTTTTCCAATATAGAAATCCTTTAAAGCAAGAATTTTTTATGCAAAGAAAAACAATTTTTTCCTCTATTATCAAATTGTCCTACAAAAGGAAAAACAAAAGGAAGTAACAGAAATGTACAACATATATGATTTCCTGTCAGTATAAACCCTTTATTACTGAACTGTTCCTATATCTGAAATTTAACAAAAACCACTTAAAGAATACATAATTAATATTCATATCCATTAAAAAATGATGCCTTTTGAATTTTAATTAATGACTTTTAAAAAAATATTCATAATTTTTCAACGGATTATGCATAAATTTTCCACCTGAGAAATAAATTCGTCATTAAGAAATATGTTTTCTCTTTTATAATAATAAATTTCACCCGTTTTTTAAATGTTGAGATATTCTTTTTTTCGAAACTTAGAATAAGCTCATCAAATTCAATTTCCGGAATGAAAAATAAATTACAAGTTTCTTATCTGAAAAATGGAGGGAATAAACATGTCTTTGTAATGAAACGAAGGAAATGTATATATATAAGGCGAGAGAGAAACTTGAAGGGGGGGAAAAAATGAATCTAGAGAGGCAGTTCGCGCCTCGACGCGGCAAAAACTTTTCTACCAGATATTTATCATGTTCCCCCTCTCGCAAGGGCCTTTTTTCAGACTTGTTTTTACGCGAATTCACGAAACTTTTTTTTGTCGGCATCGTTCGCGCGCGTTTCGTTCCGTTTCCCCCTTGACGCCCTCGAAAAAGATTCTGCGCTTGAAACGAGCTGACATAACTCTCGAGGCGTTATCTCTCGACGATATTTCTGTCTACTCCGGCAAGTTTATCTGGGTTGGATCGCGCTCTTCTATAACGAAAACCGTGTTCTTTGGGTCAAAATTTCGTCAGTTGGTCAGCTAAACACTAATTTCTGCACTCCAACTGGAATTTGGTTCTAGGGTCTTGTGAATGCAGTTATAATAGTTCTTTTTTTGTTTTAATTTTGTCTTAGGTCCTATGTGAATAAAGATATTTTCATGAAATTTAGTAGTTAATAAGATTTTTTATTTCTACAAATGTTTCTTAGAAAATTGAAACATGCACTTTTTTTACAGTCTTTAGGGAAGATTGTAAATTTTCTAAATTACTTGCAGCTGTATATATATATATACTCTTACAGATATCGATTAGGTGATATCTCATGGAGAATCTTAGGGGGTAAAAAAGCTGACAGTGCGGAGCCTGGTTGACGCGTCTCAAAACAGGTCGTCGTTTCTAATATGGCGCCGCTTTTCTGCGACTGTAGTAATGTTTTTTCGTCAATATTCTTTGTATGGCATTTATATGAGTCGACCATATAAATTCGTGAATAATTCAAACTTTGATGTTATAGACTGTTCAGAACGTGTCGGACGTTTTGTTAGACTCAATCCACATCGTCGATCATTGAATCCGATGACACTCGCTCGCGCATCCGGGATAAATAAAGCACTTCGTAATATCGAGTATTACTCCGATTCATGGACAATGAATATATATGATAGGGAGACTAATGAATATTCATACATGGTAACTAGATTTATATTTTCTTTTTTTCTTCTCTTTTTTAAGCGGATTTTCCATTGATACTTTCTTTTATTTTCTAAATTTCATTATACTTCTTGTGAAATATTTGAAAACTCATCGGATGTTATAATTGTCGAGAAATACTATGCAACCTGAAATTACTAATTTGTGATAATTTTCACGGAAATTATAACTCTTGTCAAGATGTGTAATTTTATAGTTTTATTCCCCTTTAAGCCGCATATAATAATAGTAATTAAGACTATTGCGTATGCACATCAGATGAAGACACGCAACTGCTAATGTTATTTTTTTTAATATATATTATAAATCCTTAAAAGGTATTCCAAAGGTGAGCATTAAATAATTATCACTCCGAATTTTAATACAATTCTTGTATAAACTAAAATTTAAATTATTTTGCAGAAAACAGCAACCGTAGTTACGCTTATACATTATACAGTTGGATCGTAAAGAAGTTTGAGTGCCTATAAAGTACCAGATTATCTCGCGTCATCTAGATCGTACAGATTAATTGTATATCGAACACGATCAAAGAACGTTCCTCGACTCGTCTAATAATCTTAAGTGGAGGCGTGTAAACATGAATATTCGAGGACGACTGCCAATATAAAGGCCGTTACGATCATCAATCTTGCAAATATTACTCCGCTCTATAACGACAATTTAATATGCTAATGATTCCAGTTCAGCTTTTTTTTTACTTTTGCTATATGTGTATAATATATCTAGTCCAGTTATACTCGTGCGTTCCAGTTTCACCTGCCGGAGAAAATCCTACTACTATGGTCAAGGCAAAGTTTACACATACAGGAAATAATTATAACCGCAAGCGCAAATACAGAAAAGGAAAAAACACATTAAAATTCGACTAACATGAAAGAGACATTTTTAGAAAATTAGAGGCTAATTTCAATTAATTGCTGCGAATATGACTTCAATTATATGGAAAAAATTTGCTATTATGAGGTTATGTTTTGATCGCAAAGAATGAAGTAGGAAATTCGCGTCTGCGCAGAACACACGAAAATTATCCAATTATCAATCGCATTTTTGACTATATTCTGCGCATACACGAATTTCCTATACGTATACTTTATATCCTTTGCGATGAAAATAACAATTTTTAACAAAATTTCTTTAGTTTTTAATTTATAAAATGTATTTGTTAAAATTTCTCCTACTATATTTAAATAAACATAACGTGCGCAATGTTTGAGCCTGATATTTCTGAAAATATATATATTCTCATCCTCAAGCCAAAGTTCTCGTCGAAATGTAAGGAGATTCAGAAGATTATGATAAAGAAGAGGGTGGGTACAGTTAAAATTGCATGTTATTACGAAAAAAGCTGCTGGGGGCACTCGCCGAAATGAGGCTTTATTTTCTCGTTGGAATTTTATATCAAGTCCCCTCAGCGCTATGTGATCAGTTATATATATTGAAGCAGCTCCCAAGATTTTATTATTATAAGTTTGCGCACGCTCCTGCAGGTTCAAGGCACCTCCATTTAGCGGTGAGGTACATATTTTTATTCCCCCTTTTATTTTCTAAAAAACACTAACGTAATATGCAGAATTAAGGTTCATTTTAAAACGAATCTAAAAGTATATTATAATTCCCATCTCGCAGTTGGCGAAAATGGAGAGAAACTTTAGAAACTCGCTATTGACATGGCTCGGTCGATATCATAGACTTTTCGAATGAAAAGAAAGATAAGATCTCGCCTTTTGAACTCGAGCAGAATCCTCTTGAACCCTTTTCGAATCAACGAATCAGCGGTGGAATGGATTCGCTTTTGACACCTCGCATACAAAGCAGACACTGCAATCGTATCTGAAAAGCTATTCATCGCTAGATCCAGAAAAGTAATTACTCTAAGTATATAACCATTTCGAAAGAGAGTGAAGAACATTACTTTACACTCTTTATACACATTTTCATATTATATGAAGGCTTCCGAATATGAATACAAATGTTTGAATATATAGTAATTATATTTCTATTCAAAGATATATAAAAGGTGTCTAGACTCGCGGGAATTTTGATCTTGAAATGGAGAGGTGCGAGAGTAATGCTAATGATAAAAACCAATAACGAGGCTATAACTTTTAGCTTCTATATCATGAGAATATGTTGTATTTATTTCCAGTGCACACACGTTCAAGATAAATTGTATATATATATATATATATTGCGCTACTATTGCGCGCGACGCATCGTAGCTCCACGGAATGCAACCTCGACTCGTTAAACTAAAAGCACGTGCACTTATTACTCGCGTGCGATTCGCTACAATATATATATTCAT